GGTGACAAAAGTCAGCGGAAGTCCTCTGAAAGTACCCTCGAGGTTTAAGACTTTTGTCATAATTAGAATGCAAGTAATCAGGTTAGCAGAAAATTAACTTTTAAAAAAATCAATGGAAAATGTCAATTGATATTTTTTTTGACATTTGTGGGGTGACAAAAGTCTGTGGGGGTCCTCTGAAGGTACCCTCGCAATTTCAGAGTTTTGTCACCTCTAGAACCCCAAAATCCCAAAATCCACATATTATTATTAACTACAATAAACAAATGGTTAATTGTTAATTGTCTTGCACTCAATACGCTAATAGATATTAGTTTTGTCAAGTTTTGTCGGCCTTTAATAATCTGCTAAATCATCTTCCACGGGTGGAAACTCGGTCGAGCGTGAGAACCACTGCTTTCCTATTTTCGGCAAACGAATTTTCGGCTAGCTTCCACTCCATAGAATATTTTCCCTCCAGTTTTTGTCCCTCAGAACGATTTTCAGCAGTATCATGAGACATTTTATGGTACATTCACCGATAAGTTGGCTGAATGTTGGTTAACCGTTATGGAGCTCGTGAAAGGGATCATTGTTCGTGCGTTTTTTTGTGGGTCAACGGGCTTTGAGTTAAAATCGAACGTTAGAATTGGAAGATTAACTCGAAACTCCACCGGTACTTTCAGTATCTTATGACCTAATAAAGTGTCTTTATACTCGGTAGATGTAAATTTTCCAGACGAGTCGTTGCGGCGATAAATCAAAAAGTTTTGTCATAACCCGGGCGAAGGTGACTTTCAAGTGCTCATTGAGATTTTCATGGGAATGAGAAAAGGGTATTTGAACGTAATGCTTCAATTCTAGTTGTTTTAATTGTAGTTTGAACGATAATAGGACTATTTCCTGGATATTTCCTCCTCTTTTATTCGATTATTCACGGTTTTCTCCGTTTGTCAACGCCGAAGCGAATTGCAAAGTTAACAATACAAGAGAGATATGAGTCTATCGATTGACGGAATTTCTTCCGCATCCGCACAAACGATAAAAGGAATGCGGGGATAGGGCACATCGACGACAGCCCTCGACTAACGACATTGAATCGGACGTTATGTTCAACAAAACGAGAGGGAGACGGGTTTGCGTATCGAAGCGGACCGTATTCCCGCTCCCATCTGAGACGGCTGAACGGTGCGCTAGCCCATGTCGAGATTTCCGGATGGTACGTGATCGGCTTGCCGAGGCTTTCCTCTCAGGTATGCTCTAACCAGGGTTGAAAATACTCGCAGTTGCTCTTCGGGGTGTTGTGCGCCGCACGGGCGAGCGTACATGGGCTCAAATGGCATGAGATACGGTACGTTTACCTTGTCAATAACGTCTTACGATATTTCGGAAATAATTGGGTGAGGGCGGGATATGCTGGTGCAGGCATTTCGGAAATAATGCGTTGAATTCCGGGGCTGTGGTATGGTCAGAGAAAAATAAATTTTTTTGAACGGGTCTTGTTGGAACTCACAAAATTAAATCCTGTGCTGACGCTTTGAAGACTTTCCTGAGATTTAAAATTTTCGTTAGATATTCACTGGTACAAAATTTTCACTGAATTTTCAAGGAATTTCGTAATTGAGAGTAATTTACAGTTTACAGTAAATACATATACATGTCATGTAGAGAGTAATTTACAGTTTACAGTTTACTGTCAATTACTGTCAGTTAATTTGTAATGTACAGTTCTCATGGAAAAATCCGGGAAATTAATGAAAAATCGAGAAAATTCATAGAAATCTCTCCTTAAATTCCAGTTCCCTCAGCATTTTCATAAAATTCCTCAAAAATTTCCGGAATTCCGACAATTTTAAACAAATTCCCTGAAAATTCACTTCAATCGGGAAATTTCTGTTTTTCTGTCGCAAAAAAATTGGGATTTTACTCGAATTTTTCGAGAAACTTAAAATTCCGTTGACTTTTTCCACTTAAATCGCATTCAAAGTCTTCTTT